GCGGGCTGGTCCTGGTTCAAGGGCAAGAAGAGGAGGAGGAAGTTTGTGCATCCCAAGCAGGTGAATAAGAACCTGCGGGCTGGTCCTGGTTCAAGTGCAGGAGGATGAGGAGGTTTGTGAACCTAAGCAGGTAAAGATGGAGCTGCGGGCTGGTCGTGGTTCCTGTGCAGGAGGAGGTAGAGGAGCTTTGTGCATCCCAAGGAGATGAAGGAGCTGCGGGCTGGTCTTGGTTCAAGTGCAGGAGGATAAGGAGGAGGAGAAGGTTTATGCATCCCAAGGAGGAGGAGCCGAGGGCTCGTCCCGGTTCCTGTGCATGAGGAAGAGGAGGAGGAAGTTTGTGCATCCCAACCTGAAGGAGCCGCCGACCGTTCCCAGTGCGGCCGCCAGGTGGCGGCAGAGACCACGCGGGGCTATGGCAGCTCCGGTGTCACCACGCGGGTCCCGCAGCCGGGACGGGGCTCCGGGGGACGGGGCTCCGGGGGACGGGGCTCCGGGGGACCGGGCTCCGGGGGACACTCCCCCGCCAGCCTTCCCGGCCTGTTCGTGTCAGAGCCGAGGCATCAGCCTGCTCCGGGACCGAAGCACTGGAGTGTTTTCCCTGCAGTTTGTCGCAGTTGTTCCTTCTGGCAGCCCGCACAGCGCCAGTTTCATCTCTGCTGCTTTTGGTTGCACCACTCAATTCCGGCATTTTTTCCACGAGAGTAATAGAAGTGGCTTCATGTTATTGATAGCAGTAGAGTGTTTGAGCTGGTTTGCCACCTGCCTTCAGGCTATAGTCTCAGCATGGGTGTCTGATGAATTCTACCACTGTTCTGGTAAAAGTGCTGGATTTTCTTATTCAGACTTACATTGATCCTGGCTATAAACAGCAGCCTAGTGGGAAAAAGTCTCTGTTGTCTGCTTAAATAAAAATCCATGTAGGTTAGGACCTGTATGAGTGCTCCACCACAGTCGTAGGAGAGTAAGGAAGGATAATTTTGAACTGGGATTCTTGTGTATTTCCTTAGGGGGAGAGAAGCAGCTCCACTGGGCAATGCAGATTTTGGTGGGTTCTGCTGGCTCTTGGGTGTTGTTGTCTCTTTGAGACTCCCACTTTTGTGTGCAGTGGGGATGTGTCCTAGGGGAAGTGATTTATGGGTGCAGGTTTTGGAATGAGTATTTGTAATCTTTTTCCTAATGTTAATGGAGTAGAACAGAAGTATCAGGGCCTATTAATGGCAGAGCCATAGGACATGACCTGATCTCTTTTTTGTAGGATGGAAGACTATGATGATCTCATGCTAATCTGGACACCTCAAAGTGAGACTCTGAAGGAAACCTATGGTGAATATGTCCTTGTTGATCTCCTAGAACGTGAAGGTGAAGAAAATCAGGCAGCTGTTTGTGAGGTCAGTCTGCCATGAGCTCTGGTCTTGTCTAATCACAGTTTTGGTGATGTCCTGTGTGACAGCTCACTGTAGCTCAGGGAATAAAATCAGCAGCCCACCTGTGGAAGGTAGAATTCATAATCTATACCCTCTCAGTGCCCTTCTCAATGTAGTTTGTGTCTGTCCTCAGGGGTGATGTTTCCAGTTCAGAAATGAAGCAGCAATTCCCAGATTAATTTCAAGTAATTTGGACAGACCATCTTGACGAAGCCATGTTGTCATTTTAGACATTTGTATTATAGGTGACCTGTTTTCTTTCCCAGTGCAAGCTAATATTGCATATGAAAATGAGCAGCCAGTAATCCTTTCACAGTTTAAAGTCCTGTAGATGATTTTTCTTTCTCTTGGCTCAAACGGATTTTTGCTCTAATGAAGACAGACTCAGGAATTAATTTAAATAAGAAAGGAGTGGTAATAGTTATCCTGCTGAAAATTCCTGTTAAGATTTTCACGTGTTGGCAATTGTACACGACCCATTGCAGTGACACGCCCTGAGCTCCATGTGAGACCACCTAAAGTTCCTCCTGCAGTCGGTGGGCTGGTGAGGCAGCCCCAGCCATCCAGGATGGATGCCAGCTCCTCCCTGTGGAGAAGGAAGCTGGCAGCCTCTTTTTGCACATATGGTGGATGGATTGGTTAATCAGCCTCTGCTGAGCCTTGGGCCCGAAATGACACAGCAGCCAGGCAACTGCAGCCCCGGCTTTGCTGGTTACACAAACAAGGCAAACAAACAATCACTTGTTGTCGGAGGGCAGGGAAATTAAACGTCACACTTTTTAAAAAAAATCTTTATTGAAGTGCTGATGGATTGATAAAACAGCTGGACAAATCCAGCCTTTGAGTTTTCATGAGGTTTGTCAAGGCTTTCGTTACGTGTATTGAGGAGGAAAGGTGTTTTGAGAACGTGTTTCACCAGAAAGTTGCACACACGACTAAAAATTTAGGAGCCTCCTTCTTGTGTCAGGTTAAAGCCAGAAGCTCCTGAGCATGCCAGCTCTCCCTGGTCCCAGTGTGTGTCTTGCTGAGAACTCCAGCATCCAGAGTACCGTGGGTGCCAGCATTGCAGGGATCCCAGCACTTTGACATTTGCCAAGCCGTTTGGGTTTTAAGACTAGCTCTTGGATTTTTTTCAGAACACAGAAATATTTGGGGCTTATACATGCTGCAAATAATACATACTGCATTAGGTACTCCTTATATTATATGTAATTTATTTCTTGAGTTGTTAATTTCTTAGGAGAATAAAATGCACTCTTCATTTTGAGCCTAATTTGGGTCCAAATCAGTGCCCAGTAATGAGTCAGCTATTACAGCTAACTGAATGCAGCTTCTTCTTCAGCTGCACTGTATCTTCAAACAAAATGATAAGTTTTTGGAAATATGTTGTGTATTTGCCATAACAAAGGTTTTACTGAAACTCCAGGCCATTTTTTGGCCCCCATGTATAAACCCAACTCTTGCAAGACATAACTAAAAAAAGAATTAGAACATCTACTGTCGATGTCCTAATACATTCATTACAAGGAAAAATCAAAAGAGGATCTTTAACTTTTGCTGAAATAGCTCCTTTATAGTTTTCCCTTATGCACAGTCAGATTTGGAACATAAAAGTTAATGTTTCAGAAATTTTTTTGTTCCGTTTTTTTTTTTTTTCCTGACCTAGAAATTAGACAGGTTTGATTGTGTGACGTGGCTTTTGTCTTCCAGGTTGATGGCACTGCAGTAGGATTCATGAGCTTATGTTCTCACGTGAACATTTCCTTGTTGCAAGAGTGTTTTGACTTAGGGCCTTTCCATGGACTCTGTAAGCCACATCCTGAGGATATTCTCAAAGTGCCACGGAAGCCAAGCGTTCAAGGAGGTATCTGTGTTCTGAAGTGATAAATAAATTCAAGGTGTGTTTGTGTCTGAGTAGGTTCTGCAGGAGGTTGGAAAAGGCTATAAAGGTTTACTAGCAAGAAAACACAAATTAGCATTGCTGTTTTGGAAGCAGGATGCCTGGTGTTTTTTAATTGAGGAGGGGGCTTTTGATAGGCCTGGTCTGTGACTCAGAAGTGATTGTTGTTTGTGGGGAGCTGGCCTGTACCAGCTGTGGGATAAATGTAGGCTTCAAGTTTCAGAAAGCTGTCGCGTGGGGTTTACTGTGTCTCAGATACAATTGTGCTGTTAAAGGAAGATGTGATTGTAAAATCTGCTGGTGAGGTGAGGTCTGTGAGTAGCTGAGCAGCTGGTGAACTGTGCCTGTTACGTTGTCCTGTTGACTCATGTCATCTTTTTCCCTTGTTGTTCAGCTTCTGCTCTTTGCTTACTGTTTGCAGTCTCCTGGGTTACAAGATTTTGGGCGATCAGGACTGTCTCTTTACTCTGCTTTTATATTGTGCCCGATGCAGCAGCACGTGTGCAAGCCACCTTCCTGCCAGTGATAAAAACCAGTAGCACAAATATGTCACCTGTTTGTAGAACAGAAGTGTCATGTAAATGATTTACAGTTGTTGTCTTTATTTTTCAGTGTCAAAGGGCTTTTTGTGCAGAAGGGCAACACTTTGCTATCTACTAATTATCAGTAGTGGAATAAAACCCCTCCACCACCATCAGGTTGTTAGGTATCTGCTTTTTCTGAACACAAAGCAGCAGGAATAAAAGGCGACCAGGGAGCTGCAGGGCTGTCACCAGCTGGTACCTCGAGGCTGGCACTCACAGAACAGAGAGGGGAGAGAAACAGTTCTTGTAGCTGCTCCCGTGGCCTTCCCCTCCCCTGCAAGGAAGCATCTTGCACGTAGGAGCTGGAGGAAGCTGCCCGTTTGATCCTGTGCTCCTGCAGCTGCTGGAGAATTAGTTCAGAAGAGGTGACAGACATGGGTAGGAGGAACAGCAATGGGACTGAGGAGGGAGAGAGATCACTCGGGAGCTGGAGCCCAGTCCTGGGCTGTCTGCTCTGGGTGACCCTGCTTGAGCAGGGGCTTGGGCAAGGTGACAGACCACCAGGGCTCCCTCCCAGCCCTACCATCCCAGGGCTGTTGCTGCTTCTGGTGTCCTCTCCTTCCCCAAGCCGTAGGTCTGGGTTTTGTGGCAAATTCTGTGCTGCTGAGCTTTTCAGTGAGTGTAGGGTTACAGGGCGTGACAACACAGCTGTTACATGGTTTTTATCATCTAGGAAATCTATGGGACTTGTCCTAAATGTTAGAACTTAGCATGAGCAGCTGTTCTGTTCAGTTTCCTGCTCAGGAACAGGAATTCTGTGATCACAAAATAGTCGTGAACATTTTTGTTGTAGCTTTGCACGTTGTAGAATAGAAGAGTTGCCTCCCAGCAGTCCGTGGTTCAGCCTTTCGTGTCCTTGCAATCTCTGGCCTTGTTACTCCCATGTAGTTTGCTTTTTTTGCTGCTGCAGAGCCACGCCCGTTCCATGGAGAGGCTGCATTGCAATCGTGCTGCTGGACAGAGCCCTGCTGCCAGGGCACAGCAGGTTCACTGACTGACAGCCATAGGACATCTTGGCTTTAAGGAATCTGAAGGCTGGAAATTTTAAAATGCAAGCTGCATTCCTTTGTAGAGTAACTTTATATTCCCACATATAAAAAGGTTATTTTTTCAAGCTCTTTAGCTTCTAAGTATAGACCACAGGTTGATTTATTTTTTTTTTCCTTTCAGTATGTAATGCTGAATAATAATGAAAGAGTATACAACAGTCTGTACTGATATGCCACTTAGGTTTCAGGGTAATTACAGTAATTTGGTTGTTACTCTATATGGTGTCATGAATTAGTTGCTAGCAAACACGATGCAGTAGGAATGATTCAAGGGCTTTTCATCAGGCCTCATGGTGAACTGGCTTCTTGATCCTGCTGACTGTACCTCAGCTAACAACCCAGCAATCACGGAATTATTTTAATTTTCTTTGTTTGTGGTTTTTACTTGATTCAGTGACAGTATTGCAGTTCTTGACATCACTCGTGTGCAGCGTGCCTGTAAACAGCAATGCAGCCACGTCTGACAGGGAGTGCATGGTGGAGCCATTAAGGATTTGCATTTTAGTGTAAAGTCAGAAACAACATATCAATATTTACATGACAACAAGAGACTTGTATTAATTAACTTCTGACACCTGCAAGGCTGTTGGTAATGAGAAATGGAGCTGGTTAATCAAGACGACATTTGATCATTTCTGTGAAGGCTCACATCTGTGATACCCCCAGAGAACCCATGATTCCTACCCCCCACATTTCTCCTTGCCCTGCATGTTGCATCTGCACTCTTTCAGCGACAGAGAAACAGATTTTGAGATAAGATTTTTTTCCTAAATGTTTCTGGCTAAATTATTTTATACCTTTGAGGTTTTTGAGGTTTTTTTTTTTAATTTGTGAAGAAATGCTTCTGTCCGTGAGCATACCTTATGTGGATATCCCCAGGCCAAGTTCAGAGGGAGAAGGGATTAAATCTGTTGTTTTCTGAAGCTTATTTTGTATTCTTCTTGGAGCTCAGAAACCTTGATTTCCTTGATATTACTGGATCTTCCAAATGCAAGGGTGTCCTGCCTTGAAGTGTTTTCCTCATACACCTTAAGAGTTTATTGTGTAAAATTTATAAAGGAATTATAATCCCTGTTTCCTTCTCTTACTACTCTGGTAAGAGCTCTGGTTTGACTGGGATTTAACCTGAATTTCAGTTCTTTTGGGAGAACTAATCTGAGAATGAAGAGCCCTTGCTTGTCCTTGTGATCAAGAAAGCAGGTTAGCAACACACGGGGTTTAAGGTATCAGTCAATACATTGACTCCTGGTTTTCAGTTCAGATGGGGTAAAGGTTTGACATAGGGACCCACACACAAGTTAGGAATTGCTTCCAAACTCTCTTGTTCAAGTCTTATTGTACAACCAATTCCCTGGATTTTTTTTTTTTTTTTTGCTTTGAAATCCAACAGTCTAAGGAAGCTGTAGCCAAGTAACTGTAGGAGGGAGAGTCTGTTGTAACTGTGGTTGTTAAAATGAAATCTTTTGATAGAGGTAGCCTGGCCCACTCCAGCTATGGCTGTGGTTCTGAGGGTAAAGCTCACATTATTATACCTTGTGCACTTTGTCTTTTACTTAACTCAGATGAAGATGAAAGCAACCAAACGAGTGAAAAGCCAGAGCCTGTTTCTTCTGAAAACTTGGAGCGTGTTCCTGGTGCAGATGCAGCTGTGCAGGTAATGCTGCTGCACCCAGCACTGGCTCTCAGAAGTGATACAGAGCAATATGGCAGAGATGAGGACAAGCAAATACTGCTGAGCTCCCCTCCTGCCCGTCTGCTGTGGGGCACAGGTCAGAAGCTGCTCTGGCAGGGTGTGGAGGGACAGGGTCAGAGCTGTTGGGCAGCGTGGGTTTGCCCATCCAGTTCGCCATGAGCAGCCATCAGGGCTGAGAGGAGGGAAAGGATGGGGCTTCACTAATGCAGCCACTCGGGCAGTGCTGTGAGTGAGCCCTGTGTGTTGTCGTTGCAGGCAGCAGGTGATGTCAGCATTGAAGGCTCTGCAGCCTCAGCTGCGCCTCTCCTGGACACTGATGGGGACGGGGATTTTCATCCCGTCTACAGGGGAACTTCAAATGCTTTCTGCATCCGTCTGCTCTGTATCCATGAGAAGTATGAAAGTAGGTAAGCACACAGCAAGAGTCACTGCTTTCCCCTTAATAACCATTCCCAAGGTTATGGTCTAGGGCAAATCAGAAAGTGACAGCATCTGCAGTGGTTAGGTGGGATTTTTTCTGACCTCTTTCTTGTCTGCTTCTTTTATCTTCAGTAGTAATGTTTTCAACCTCCACTTGCAACTTCCTAGCTCTGACAGGTCTGTGAAGAATTCATTTGTGTTGGAAAAAATGTGAGTTGAGGTTGTGGGAAAAGGCTGCTTCTTCCTTCTATGGAGACACTCATTCTGAAGCTGGCTAGCTGCAAGAGGAGCTACATGTTACAGTAGTTCTCATCTCACTGCATGGGGCAATAGAGCTGTTTTTAGCTCTGCAGGTAAATGTTCCCATTCTAAACACTGTCTCCAGCCACTGAAAGAAAGGATTCTATTTTCTAGAGTCCTCTACAGCTGGGGGACACAAAGGGATTTTCTTTTTACACCATTGCTGCTGCTCACCTTGCACTCTTAGATCCTGGTAGATTAGAACCAACTGAACCAACTAATGTGTGATAACAACAACTGCACTGCAGACTGTTCCAGAACAGTTAATTGAGGGACAATCTACTGTAAAAATCCGAGCAAAATAATTATTGCAGAATAAGAAAGCTTTATTTTAAAATCTTGGTGAGGTGAGGAGCTTGCTCTGGAATGATTCCATTATACTGAAACAGCAGTGGAGAGCTGTGATAGAGATTTATGTCAGGAAATAATCTCACTGTAGACTTCTTGAGTTCTCTGCTCATAGTTTCCTGCTTAGGTTAAGGATCTATCCCGTTTTTGCCCCCTTCTGAGCACTGTGCTTTGTTTGCTGTTTCTGTTCATGACATTTCTCACTGCATTTATCACTCAATGCTGTGCTCCCAGTCTTTTTTTACCTGGAGACATCTGTGGAGCAGTGTGGATTCCAAGATGGGTATCTGGAGGAGACAGCATTCCTGTCAGAAGACTTCTCCTAAGATTACCTCACGCAGAGCTGAGGACTCTGTACATCTTGGTGTTTTCAAACGTTTTGCTTGTATGCTTCTCTGGCTTGCCTTTGCTTGATGCACCTGCCTGTAAAAGAAATATTAGCAAAGCAAATATAGGTAAAGGAGGCCATAAGGTGATGCTGGAATCTTGTCCTGAGGGAGTTCCTGCTGGCCTTGCAGAAATAGCAGTTGGCTTCAAGTGTAGGTGTGATTGCATCTGAGCCCTGAGGGAAGTTTGCTCCCTGGGAGTTGTTACCCACTGAAGCTGCTACGTGCCTCCATCTCCTGAACCCAGAGCTGTGATGTTGTTAGTGCATTGAGAGGGAAATGTGAAGGAGCTGAACTGCTGGCCTATCTGCTGGTGTTGGATACTTTGCTAAGCCCCCTGAAAAATCTCCCACCTCAACTCTTGTGGTCCTTGCTGCCAACAAGGTCCTGGATGCCAGAGAAAATGACAATCCAATGTAGTTGCAATGGCATTTTCCTTTCCCCTGGTTAGCTATTCTGTTAACTAGTCCTAGTTAGATAGGTGAATATATAATACCCCAAGCCTGCTCTGTTCTTGCAGCTTTAAGTTTACATTCAAGCATAGATATTGCAATTAGAAATTATTTATCTTTTAAGTAATATTATTATTAAAGAGGTAATTACAGCTCTAAAAGGAGGGAGAGGATTTATCAGTATTTATAGGTGACTTATACATGTATGAATCTCATCAAAAGATACATCTTGTGTGGTGGAAAAGTGTTTTATGAAACTTGAGCATAACTGGGTTTTGAGCTCTTTGATATCCTTATACATGGGAAAAACAGCAGGGCTTTGGTGAGATTTCTCAAGTCTTTTTAAACTGAGATGTCACAGTTTGCTGTCACCATGGAAAAGAGACACGGATAGCTCTAAGTCAGTGGGTGAGAAGTGGAAAGAGTGTTCAAAAGCAATTGTAAGTATTGACGTTCCTGTCAGAGCACATTGGGCAGGTTTTCCTGAGTGCCAAGTCACAGAGCCCTTGGTGCTGGCTGACAGCACTGTGGAACATAGCAACAACTGTTTGTAACCTGGAGTGATATTTGCTATATGCTAACGCTGCTGTGGTAGTCCAGGAATGGCTTGTGAAGAGGCTGCAGTCAACGACACGAGAGCCAATGTGCTGTTTGTTCCTCCCCCCACCCTTTTAGTGAGCAGCCTCGGGTTATGTCAAACATATCCTGGTTGTTCTTGTTAATAATGATGCTGTAAGCGCTGGAAGTCAGAAATTGCTGTGCAGCATGCAACATCAGCACTTGGTTACTGATGATCCATTGGGATTGTCTGATCAGCTCTGAATAAACGTTCCTGCACTCTCAGGGATATCACAGTGTATCAGATCATTCTGATATTTATTTGCCAATATTTGCTCTTGGTTGCAGGTCGCTGGATTTTTTGCAATATGCTTTCAGCGTTTTCCCAGTGAGTATAAGCAAAGTTGGGATGGTTTTGTGTGGTGTGTGGTGGGTCAGCAGTGCAGCTGGCAGCCAGGGGAGGTGGGTCTGCTGCTCCAGTGGGTGTGCCCCACACAAATAGGCTGGGCCTGGTTACCCTGGGCTGAGCTACTCCCCTCCTTGGCTGCTTCTGGATTTCATGGAATGCATACCTAAGTCCTCTGTTTATCCTAGAATCCTGGAATGGTTTGGGTTGAAAAGGAACTTAAAGATCATCCAGTTCCACCCCTGCTATAGGCAGGACACTTTCCACTAGCCCAGGTTCCCCCAAGCTTTGTCCAACCTGGCCTCAGACACTTCCAGTGGTGGAGCAGCCACACCTCTGAGCAGCCTGTGCCAGGGCCTCCTCACCCTCACAGGGAAGAATTTGTTTGTACCATGTAATCTAAACCTGTTCTCTGTCAGTGTGAAGGCATTTCCCTGGCACTATGTGCTCTTGCAAATAGGCTCCCTGGTTTATGTTCCATAGGGACTTCTCTGAGATGCACATTTAGAAAAGAAATGTTTCAAACTCCTTTAAAACCATGTACAGATCCAGACCGTGCCTAAATTAAAAACTGTATCAGCATAGCATTCACAGTATTTGCCTGCAGACTGAACAGTGGCACTGTGGTATTTCCCACTCATGCCCTGTGTGATCCCTTTGTCTGAGGTAACAAAGTCCACCTTGAGCCTTTCTTAATGCACACCAGAGAGCTGTGAAGCCGTGTTACAAATACCTGCATGGCAGTGTGCCTTGGAGACAGGCCCTGGCTACCAGAGCCACTGACTTGGCCCTAGGAACCAGCACACTCAGAAACAGCTGCTGGTGCTGCCCGGGCAGAGCCGTGCCTGGAGCTGTGCAGTGTAAGCCCCGTGTTCAGGGCTGTCTGTCCCCTCTGGGGGGCTTTGGGTAGAGCTCAGAGAACGCTTGTACTGCCTGCCAATGTCTTCCAGGACAGAGAGCTGTGTGTGATGCTGGTGCCACATCACGTCCCCGAGTCGTCCCTGCTGCGGAGCTTTGTTCGGGCCGTGCCCTGCTGCCCGTCACGGCTGGGCCGGGAGCTGTACGTGTTCCACAGGGCAGCACTCCTCAAGTGAGTGGTGCCTGGGACAGCCCTGCTGCTGCCTTTATAGCCAGCCTCCTCTCCCTGAAACCTCGGGGACAGAGAGGATGCTTTGGGGATTTGGGTGTCCAGTGCTAAGATGGATGGACATGGGTACAGACCAGCGGCTCCGAGGTCCCTGGCTGTGAGCCAAAGGCAGCAGAGAAAAGTGGTGCTGTGTTTGGCCTTGGGGATGTGGGGCAGGTGCTGTGACACTGGTGTAGGTTTAATTCTTGGAAATATGCTGTAGTTCTCTTAAGAGAGCTGTAGTCATGTGTTTCTGGGACATACAGATGACAGCAGGAGCTTTGTTGAGTATCTGTCCTGTGTCACTGCTCTTTCCCTTTTGGTGTTGAATCATTTATTTCATGCTTTCAGTTTCTGTGATGCTCTGAACACTTCTGTAGGCTGAGATATCTGAACTGGGACACCAAACCTTTCTTGCTGTGTCTTCTGTTACGTGCTTTGCTTGTATACCAAGCCTATTCTGGCCCAAACACCAATCTTAGATTGTTAACGATTTTCTTTTTTTTTTTTTTTGGTCCTAATGTACCTAAATACTGTGTGGTTTTAACAAAATATTTCTAGGTTTAATTTGGTACCTAATCACCTTTGGTTTTACACAAATACTTCATGCAGGAGCTGGCCAGCTACTCTTGGACCGAGGCAGAAGCTTTCTGCCCTGGGATGAAACTTCTGCTCCTGTGTCCTGAGTAAAAATCCAGCTGGCTGGAGAGAGAGCTGCTGGAATAATTCCTGGTAATCTCAGGCCCAGCTGCTCAGTAATCCATCAGTAGGGTTGGGAGTCATATGTCCCCTTGCAATTTTGGGCAAAATTCAAGTTGTCATCAAGGCTCTTTGAAAAAAAGTTACCATCCTGATTACATTTGTGCATATTCCAAATGACACCAGTCCTTTCATGAAAACAAAATAGGGTCATCAGTAGCATTTTCCAAATCCCCCTGCAGCTTTGCAGGAAAGTAAGGAAAAATAGCTGCTCATTGAGGTTCAGGATCAGAAAAGCTTTGGGAGAAACCAGAGTAATCTTTTGCAAAGTTTCTGCAGAACAAAACCCACAGGGTGCACCAGCAGATAGTCTCTTGGAAATAACCAAAATCTGTGAAAGTGAAAGATCAATGCATTGTACTTGCACCTATGGCTTTCAAAAGTGTGTGAGTGAAGAGGAACTCACAGAAAATGGACTAAAAGAAAAACAGGGTAAGAAGAGGGGAATATGAGAAGACGTGAGAGGGCGAAGTCAGAAGAGGCACAGGCACAAAATGAGCTCTTGATTAGTACAGGTAGTAAAAGGAATAAGAAAAAGTGTTAAGTACACAAAAAGTAAGAGTGCAGCAAATGGAACTGTGAGTCTGCTACTTAACAGTGAAGGAGAAAAAAATAACAGATGGCAAAGGCATAGGCTGAGGTTCCTAATGGATACTTTCCCTCAATTTTCACTAAAAAGCATAATAATAATAATAATAATAATAATAGCGTCCTTGTCTCTGAGCAGTCAAAGGACTTGAGCATCTAGAATGAGTTAATTCATTGCTAGGAGAGAAACGAGTGCAGACCTTGGATAGTCCTTCCTCCTGCTCCATACTCCAGTGGAGCTGCTGTATCTGCTTACTCTCAGCACAAGGCAGTTTCAACTTTTCACATGTCACTGTTGGAGATGCAGCTCCCTGTGGGCACAGCCACCTTTCCTGGGGCGTGGGTGGGGCAGAGGGTGGGACAGGGCACCCTGGGGCTGCACAGTCCTCATTGCTCTTGGGTATTGCCATGGGCCGTGGAGGGCTGTGAAAAGCTGGCTTAAAAGGTCAGGATTCTTTTGTCCTTCAGTAACCAAATTGTGCTTTCGAGCACTCTGAAGTGGTCAGTGAATTCAGCTGTGAAATTTCTCATAACATACCAGAATCTTGGCAAATTTGTGTTTTTTAAGGTACAGGTGCTATTCATGAAAGCCATATTCCACAAGATGCCTCTCAGTGTGACTGAGGCTGAAGAACAGCACATCCACTTTTAAATTGAAAGCAGGAAGAACAGGAATAAAAAGATTATACGACATGAATCACAATTTTTTGTTGTGGGTGAAAGAACTTACTTCTTGGAACTGGAGCTGTAGTTGAGCCTCTTGAACAGCACTCCACGAGTGTTGGTGGCACCAGCTGTGTGTAAGCAGGAAGGGCTTGCTGCCTTTGGCAGACACGGGGAGGGCTCCTCAGCTGCTGCACACTGTCAGTGTGATGTGAATTTTTTTTCCTGACTGGTATGTGGGAAGATGTTTGCTAACAGCCTGTGAATGAGCCAAGTGCCAGGTCGCTGCTGTCTGGAGCAGTGGGGGAGTGTTCCACGTGTGGTACAAAGGTTCTGGTACCAGTCACTACTGTGTCACTGCTACCTGGCACTCCATGCTGAGCAGAGGAGTTGCAGTCATGGAAGTTGATCCTCATGTGTTACTGCTGGGAGCACCAAGGCCTAACACAAAAATCACAAACAAGTTATTCATTCTCGGGGAAATTGATGTTGCTGCTTTGCTTTGTACCATGAAGCTGGCTCCGTTTTATTTTTCTCTGTCCTTTTCTTGCCTTTCCCTGTTTTTATCTTGCTCTTTTCCCCATGTGCCACAGTGTTCAGCTACAGATTCCACATTGATTTTATGGTTCTTTGGCTCCCTTTATTGCTGACTTTTACTCACTTGAAGACAGGTGATACCTGGGGTTATAGATTGGGCTGAGTGTTTAATAGCAGATAAAGCAGGATTCTGGAGTTGTCTCAAATAGATGCTCTGATCTTTTCTGTTACCATGCAATAACTTCATATCTGCCTTTGAACAAGTGTCATTTAGCATTCAGTTACAATTTCTGAACGATGTGGTTGGTACTTGTGAAGGGTGTGTTGCCTTAAGCTTGGCAGTTATGCTTATTTTGTCACAAAGTCAACTTTAATTCTTTTTTTGTCCTTTTCCAGGTCATTTAATGTAAGAAAAGCAGCAACCAGCGACCTACAGGGTATAAAAACACTCGTTGAAACTCTCAGCTTGAATGAAAGGATATGGAATGACTCAAAGATATTCACTGAGGCTCGCAGGGAGCCAGTGAGTATTTGTTGCTGATATGTGTTCAATTCTGGACTTAGCCCAGGATGAAGCAGTGGCTGAGCTTGTAGCCCTCCTGCAGCAGCTGTACCCAAAGTGAAGTGTCAGTAAGGAAAGGTGTGTGTGGTCCAGAGTCCAGCCACACACCCGGCTCCAACAGGGCCCTCCTGGGGGGCAGACTGGTTAAACTGGGATGGTGCTGGGGGGCTGCACGGGGAGAAAAGTGTTTTATCTGGGTCTCTGGGGGGAAATACACAGTGACAATTAAAAAGAGGTTCGACTGAAACTGGAAATGTGCATCTGTTGCCTTTACCTTGCAGGATGGGATGCCAGTACAGGCTTTTGTAGCAGAAGTTTCGGATCAAATCGTTGGTGTTTGTGTCACTAGGGATGAAATGGTAAATTCAGTTTGTGTTCCACGAGCTCTGTGGTGCTTGGTCCTCACACTAAGGCTGAGTTTTGTGCTTGGCACTGTACCTGTGGCTAACAAAGTGTAAAAATGCTGCTTGTAGAAGCCCCTGTGCTCTCCAGCCTATGCCCACTGTATTATTTCTCTGCTCATAGGTCATGATTGACCCACAGATGAAAAAAAAATGATCCCCTTACTTTCAAGAAGCTGCTGCTATGTCCTGCAAGTTTTCCTCCTGTGCTTTTTTTGGTGCTTTAGCACAAAGCCATTCTGCCTCTAAATAGATGTTTAATCACCTCTTTCCCTTCTACTTTCCAAGTCAATAAGCAGCTTTGGTACAAGTCCTGCAAAGAGCAGTAATTCTTCTTCTAGATTAGCTTTCATAACTTTTTTCTCCAACAGTGGAGTCTAAGTGATTGTGAATCATGCACTTGAAAACAAAAGCCTATTCCCTGATGCAGTAAAGAAAGACATTGCACGTTATTATTGAAAAATGAACATTCTCCAAGTCTTACTCTTGTGGCATTCTGCTAGGATTGAAAAGGTGGATTTTAGGTTGTTCAGCTGTTCTAATGCTTAATTTTTACAATAGAAAAGTCACTCCTGTTTCTGAGAGTAATCCTCTTGATTATTTTAAGAGCTAAGAGCATAGATTGAACAAATGTGCAAAAATATCAGCTTATCACTTCAACAGGGAAGACTTGTCAGAGGGCATTTCTTACACAGCCGTGCTCTGTTCTGGAATTCCCTTTTTCAGCTGGAGTTTGGTGAGAGGGCTGGCCTGGGCTTCTGTGCCTTGAACACAGACAAACAGGTGGAGGGGTTTTTCCCTCCCTTGGATGTCTGTTAACCTGTACCAGGCACGGTGGGGAAAGGGTCAGGTGTGCATTCCTTGTAAATAAGGGCAAGCTGCAAGGAGAGGTTTTGATACAATGAAGACATTTTTGAGAGAAATCTGTTCAGTCAGTGCACCTCAATTGAGGAGAGCTCTCAAAGACACTTGATTTCAGTGCTCAAATGTAGTTTCTTGGTCGATAGAAAGTGACTCATTGCTTGGTATTTGCTAAAATCCTGTCAAGGTAGCTGCTGATCGCTGCTGACTCAGCAATTCCTAATTTTCCAGGATATTGAGTACATTCGAGCACATTACAACATTGAGGACTTCATTCATTTTAATCACCACCAGCAAGAGGACCATGGACATCTTTGCCACTTTGTCTTGAATCCTGTATTTCGTCACTATACAAAATACTTTCTAAAGGAGATTCTTCGCTTGGGTCACAAAACTTCTCTTTACTACCCTGTTTATCCAGAATATGTGGAGGGCAAGGTAAGGAGAAAGTAATTAGTGTTTGTTGTATTAAATATTGCCACATTTTCTCACTTTATTTTTTTCTTTGCTTCCATGAATGACTGCAAACATGGATTTTTCTTGTCAATCTGCAGCAAACCGTACTTTCTTTTCTTCCTGCCTGCCATATTCTGGACCCATGGACGCAGTTCTTGCATAGCAGGACTGATCTGTGGCGTCCACAGGTGTCTTCAGGAAGTGTGCTGGGGAGCAGAGAGTGGAAATGGCCTTGGCCCTGGCTCCCTGCCCAGCACAAGGGTAATGTAGCCCGAGGAGAAATGCAAGGGGATCATCCTAAACACATCCAGGTGCCTTAGAAAAACTCTTCCAGAGGGATTCAGGTACTCTAGACTGCTTCACCAAAAGTCACTGGGACCTGGGCACCTCACTGGCTTTTGAAGGGGGACTTGTGTTCCTGCAGTTGTCATGGGAGAAGTGTAAGAATTGAACTTCCAGTGGAGAAAATCCATTTTGAGAGGCATGTAATTCAGAAACGCTCACGTTTGTGTTTTGTCATCAGTCTCGAGCGAGAAAAGGGAACACAAGGTAAGATGTGCAAGCCTGTGTAGCCATCTGAAGCTGCTGTCTGGCCTGGGCAATCACCCAGGCTCCTGGCAGCACGGATGGAAACACAGAGTGCATCCCGAGGGCAGTTCATCCATACCTGCCTGTGTGGAGACGTGTGGAATTTTCCCCTGCAGCCTGGCCTCCAGCTCGGGCTGCTGCCTGCACTGGGCACCTGGTGTTTACAGGTGACCGACATGGGATCTGTCCTTGCTGACTTGGGTGTTTTTGAAACCACCACTGGCTGTTGTGTGTGAACTCTTGACAGGTTAGGCTCGGGCACATTTGCAGGAGGACGTGTTTTCCCGTGCACTTTTGTGGAGCTGTGAGTGTTCCCGTGAGGAGCTGATGTTCCTGAGTAGCATTAGCTTCTCAGATTGTGAAGAGGCTCTCACAAAAATGCAGTTTAATGGCACTGGATGGAAGAGAAGCTAAATTGTACCAGTGATTCCAGTTTTGACTGTTTCCAGGCTACCAGGCTACAGAATTACTTTAGCTTATCTAATATCATTATCTAATAAGTGTAAGTGTGATATTTTACTTAGTTCTCAACAGAGTAACTTCAAGTTTTTAATATTTGTGGACGGAATGGCACTTGAGTGTAATTTAGTTTGCATTAATGTTCATTCTGTATTTCCTGTAATTCTCTTCTTCCCTTTCATGCTGTAAGTTATGCCAGAGCCAGTCATGCTGTAATAGACAGATACAGCTATTTCTAATGATCCAGGCTGCTCAGATGAGCTTTAGGGTTTTGTTCATTTCACATTTCTGCCAGTTTATTAACATTTATCACTTGGATGAACCAGACATTTCAGTCGGTGTAGAATTTCTGTATAAATTCATCTCCGTTGCTTGCCAGGCGAGCAAAGGTTAGCAGTGAGCAGATAACACAACTTAATGAGGTCAAATCAAGCTGATTCATGATCGCTATGGAGAAAAATATCCTCCTGGGGAAAATACTCGTGCTGAAAAATCCCATAAACCAAACCACTTGTTTATCTGTCATTCCCACAGAGATAGTAATGTAATTACTCTCATAATTATCTTCATTAGTGTCAGGAATTATCTGCAATTCATTCCTCTGCTCTGAGTATGTTTGTTTATTCGCTGACTTTTTTTTTTTGTCTCGGATTTAGCCAACAGAGCTAAGAATTGCGCGTTTTGCGAAGCCACGCGGCAGCCATCTGCGCTGCAGCGCCCTGCCACTCTCCCTGCTCACATATGGATCGCTGCCTTTCACTTCCAGCGTCCCTGTGCCCATTCCCTGACATCTGCCCTTCATTACATGGCTCCCGTGCGGCCGAGACGACAGATTGTCTATCCTGGGCGCGAGCTGGGCGCGAGCGCTCCGCCCGGGCAGCTCTCCGAGGATCAGGTGGGTGACAGCAGCGGCAGCAGGCGGGTGGGGGCACGCTGCCAGGCTCGTGCAGGGCCTGGCAGATGGGCTGGCATTAGCCTCCCGGTGCCCACGGGCTGCTCCTTAATTACAGCGGCCTGCCCGTGCTGCTCTGCTCTGCTCTGCTCTGCTCTGCTCTGCTGCCGCGCCCGGCGCCGCCACAGCACAGCCCCTTCCCCTTTGCCTTTCCCCTTTGCCTTTCCCCTTTGCCCTTTCCCCCTTTGCTTCCCCCTTTCCTTTCCCCTTTGCTTCCCCCTTTGCTTCCCCCTTTCCTTTCCCCTTTCCTTTCCCCTTGCCTTTCCCCTTGCCTTTCCCCTTGCCTTTCCCCTTGCCTTTCCCCTT